CAACCTTTTCCTCAGTACCGAGCACTTCCTTCTCTATTGCTTCAACCAGCTCTTGGGACACCAGCTCTGTTTCTCCAACCCCTATACCTCCATCCCAAAAGGCCTCCCTTCTCTCCTGACATGATGGGCACTCAAATATTTCCTGAATGAATGAATGACCATAAATACAATTCTGATAAAGGAAATCAAATTACTAAATTTAACTCCAGACGATGGGATTACAGGATGTTTTTATTTTCTTCTCCACTGTTCTATTCTTCTATATTTTCTACAACAAATGCATACTACATGTACTTTTAAAACAAGAAAAAAATAAACATACAGTACTGTGCTTCCTCCTCCATTTTAATTGACCAGGGAGTGGGGGTATAATAAATTAAACTCACTTGTATGATTTCCATATATTTTGGGAAATATTTAGAACCTGAAGCAGACCCAGCCTCAACAAGTAGCTTTCTGCTACTAAACAGTAGTTCTCTTTTTTGGAATTAAAGATTAACACATCAACACAAAATTAAAGCATGTCTCAAAATCAGACAGCTATCTTGTCAGCCATCTCTAAGCAAATTACAAACTGAAAATCTGCCTAGAGGGTTTACAATACTTTTTCATAAAGTTGGCTGTGTTCTTCCTCTTTTCACAGCTGGCCAGCCTGATGCATAGCATGTTTAGCTACAAACACTTCTGCTGATTCTCCCTGCAACATCTTCATGGCTCGCCAATAGATCTGTCCGCAGTTCTCAGGTCTACCAAGAGGGTGATTCAATTCCTCTTTGATGTAATCCATCCAAAGATCTTTAAAGGGGTCAAAAAAAAATTACTGTTAACATACAATCAGACAACTGGCAGGGCTTTATTAGGTAAACTTAATTATTTAATATTGATTCAACTCAAGAATTCTAAGAAATTTAACTTCTTGCTGTTATTTCCCTAGAATCCTATATGAGACAATACCTTTCACAATTGGATTCTTTACACTAAGGTATATCAAAACAAATTTTAAATAAAAGTAGAAAAACTTCACTTTAATCATGGCAGTCTATGTCATTTCTTAAAGTCAAAAATACTAAATTTTTTAGAGGGAGGATTTTGCTAAGTCTTTCAAGGTGAAATTGACCCTAATGAATTCACTCTAACTTTAAAGCTTGCTAATAAAACTTGCTCGGGGTAGCAAAAATGCAGCTTTCATTCATTTCACCAGGAAAAGGTCAGTGAAGCTATGTAGAAGCTAATTTTTTTTTCTTAATGTGACGCTGATAACTATACATGTGAGTGTTTTTGTGTTCATATATAAAGCCTCAGATTTTATATGACATACCTATGCTCAGAGGTATGTCTTACAAGTCCTACAAATGAGTGTAATGTGGGTAGTGACAGCCCATGACAACTAGTGCCACTTTGTATCCCATTTTTACCCTTTGCTGTAATTCCTACTCCTTTTTGGTTCTGACCAACATTATTACCACATTTTTTCACAAATAATGTGTGGACACAAAAAGAAAATCTTTGACGGTTACGAGGGAGGGGAGGGGTGAGGAAGGAAAAACACTAACTAGACAGTAGATAAGAGGTAACTTCGGTGAAAGGTAAGACAGTATACAATACTGAGTAAACCAGCACAACTTGACCAAGGCAAGGTCATGAAAGCTCCATCGACACATCCAAAGTCCCTGAGGGACCAAATTACTGGGCTGAGGGCTGTGAGGACCATGGTCTAGAGGAACATCTAGCTCAACTGGCATAACATAGTTTATAAAGAAAATGTTCTACATTCTACTTTGGTGAGTAGCATCTGGGGTCTTAAAAGCTTGCGAGCAGCCATCTAAGATACTCCACTGGTCTCACCCCATCAGGAGCAAGGGAGAATGAAGAAAACCAAAGACAGGAGGGAAAGATTAGTTCAAAGGACTAATGGACGACAGCTACCACAGCCTCCACAAGACTGAGTTCTGCACAACTCAATGGTGCCCAGCTACCACCACTGACTGCTCTGACAGGGATCACAAGAGAGGATCCCAGACAGAGCTGGAAAAAAATGTAGAACAAAATTCTAACTCACAAAAAAAGACCAGACTGACTGGCCTGACACAGACTGGAAAAACACCGAGAGTATGGCCGCCAGACACCCTTTTAGCTCAGTGGTGAAGTCACTCCTGAGGTTCACCCTTCAGCCAGACATTAGACAGGCTCATAAAAAAAAAAAAAAAAAACAACACTAAAGGGGCACACCAGCACAGGGGCAAGGACTAGAAGGCAGGAGGGGACAGGAAAGCTGGTAATAGGGAACCCAAGGCCAAGTGCTGACATGCCGTAGGGTTGGTAACCAGTGTCACAAAATGGTATGTGTACTAATTGTTTAAGAAGAACCTAGTTTGTTCTGTAAACCTTCATCTAAAGTATAATAATAAAATTCAAGAAAACGTGTGGAAATAATGAGATTACATAAACAGTCTCGCACACCGTGCCCATGCACATACCAAGCAAGTCTCGTGACGTTTCCAGAAGTGGATTTTGGCCTCATCCACCCTTCCTCCTATATTACAGGTAAATCATATCATTCTGTTCACATTCTTTAATCTCCTGCTTAACCAAAAACCAAACCCACGGCGACTAAGTCAATTCTGACTCATAGCGACCCTACAGGACAGAGTAGAACTGCCCTATAGAGTTCCCAAGGCTGTAAATTTTCACAGAAGCAGACTGCCTTTCTCCCGCAGAGCAGCTGGTGGGTCCAAACTGCAAACCTTTTAGTTAGCAACCAAGTGCTTTAAACACTACACCACCAGGGCTCCTAATCTCCTGCATATGTGTAAAAGTAGTCCAAAAATGTTACTTTTAATCATAACTGTACAGTAAAGGTATAAAGCCATGGTCAAGAAGTCGTGGATCCAGTTTAGTAGTATCCCAGCGCATTCCAGAGCATTAGCTCAACAGCTGAATGCAAAAACCTTATCACATCATCTTAAATGAAACCATCAGGTTATATGAGGTCTGCTTATTTCATAGTTTAATTATGTCTTCTTAGTATCAGCTGAAGTCAGCCACATGTAAAAAAATTTGGCATAGCATGCTTACGGAAATAATGTGCAGGGGGAGGAGGTTGTGTGGTTGGCAAAAACACATATAATGCATGTATTTTGTGAAAAAATACAGTAACTTACCCCTTCCAAATATCACTTTTAGAGAACCAAACCAAGCAAATCTCTCTCTAATCCAGAGTTCTTAATATAAGATCCAGGGACCCTTGAGCCTATGAATCCCTGAAATTATAAGGAAAATTGTGTGCAAGTGTTTACGCACAAAACAAGGGCGGAGGCAGGAGAAGGATATATAATTGTATTCTCAAAGAGAGTAATGACTCAAAAAAAGTTAACAAACACTGTTCTAACCATACTGATAGGTCACAGACAGCACATCCAGATAGACCCACGTGTCTATAATTGAAGTTTACTTACCAGAATCTACAGATCCAAACTCTCTTAAAGCCCTCTCATAATATTCTCTTAAGTTCGCCATCTTGCAGGATTCCTAACAGAAATAATAGACAATCTTGTCTCAAAAGCCTAATTTATAATGGCTCAAATTCATTTCAACAACGTTATTAAACAGTTACTACTATTTGTTAGGTACTTAAGGGTAGGGTGGTTAAGTTGAACAAAGCCTGACTCTTTTCCAGAGAAAAGTCAAACGCAAACAATGAGTTCTACTAATTACCAAAGTGAAGTAAATGCTAATCAGTGATAAAAGCACCTTGCTATCGTACCACACAAGGAGCCGCGCTGCTGCAACCGTTAAGGGCTCGGCTGCTAACCGAAAGGTCGGCAGTTTGGAGTCACTGACCCACCAGCGGCTCCGAGGGAGAAAAGACCTGGCGATCTGCTCCTATAAAGATTACAGACTAGGAAACCCTGTGGGGTAGCTCTACTCTGTCACATAGGGGTGTTATAATCAAATCTCAGTGGGGGAACCTGAGCAGCATCAGAGAACATATTTGAGAGCCTGATGGATGAGTGAGATTTAAATAAAGAAAATAAAGGAGAAGGTTCTCCCTGTGGCCAAGGATTTTTTCATTTTGAGTACTGGCCTCTGACACACACTAGTTATGTCCACCTTAAAACTTTTTATATCAAGGCACTTTTTATAACAAAGCAAAGTATAAATAAATACTAGTAATATGACCTTTGACAAGTTTTTTTAACCTATTCTGACCTTAAAAGTTTCTCACCTGTACAACAGAAATAGTAATACCTCTTAAAACAACTATGAGGATTAAATTTAAAATGCTGATTAATTATGCACCTATCAGAGTACCCAGCACTAACTTTACAATCAATAAATGTTAATTCATTATGGCTACTTCCATTTAAACGCATTCCTTTTTGTTTCGTTTTCAAAGTAGATCAACATCTTCAGTTAAAAAATCCTTTAATACAGTCAGATAACTACTTCCTCATTTAAATTTCTCTTCACTGGGACTGTATTATTTTATAGAAAGTCAATTTAACCTTGTATTTTGCACCCGCATGAAAAATGGAATCACATTTGTTGAGGACTCATAATGTGCGTGGCACTATGCAAAGTCCTTTCCATGCAGAATCTTCATTTGCCCTATAGTCCTCACACCCCTGAGCAGGCAATATGACCCCCCTTACAGATAAGGGTGCTGAGGCCTAGAATTAAGTGACTTGCTTAAGCATAACTTATGAATGTAAAGCCTAGCTATTAGCCATTATGTTATACTACCTCCTGTACTGTAAGACATAATAAATAAATGGACAAAGAACAAGAGCGGATACTTGACCCACACAACAATGAGCAAAACTATGAAAACAAGAGTCTAACCTCACTAGTAACTTCTCAAAATTAAATAAAAATAATAGACACCAATCAAAATATCAAAATAAGTGGAAAAAACAAAACTGAATACTACTAGGTATACTGGTACCTTTGCTGACACTGTTTAAGTATCATTTTCTTAGAAGACTATCTGGCAATATATAAAGAACCATAAAAAACGAACTAGTAACCCTAGTTCTAGATATTTATCTCAAGAAAACAATTCAAAAGAAAAAAAAAAGCCATATAAACAAAAGGCTGTTTTCAGTATCAAAAAACTGGAAACAACCTATATGTAAAGGGAAAGTTTAAAACAAAAACTATGGTTTAAGAGTAATACAACCATTAAAAACACAGTAACCACGTAGAACAGAAACATGTTTACAAAATAAATATGGTTGGTTGTACTTATGTGATAGAATCACAGATACACTTGGATTTTCGTGTATTATTTTTTGATTGAGGCTACTGACTGAACTTTCCTTGCTCACAAATTCAGCTGAAGGACTGGTACCAGAAACAGTTCTGAGGGCCTGGTCTCTACCTCACAACTCAATACAAGAGAACATGCAGAGCACTATGGAGACAGGGAAGCACCTCACCCAGCCTGGCAGGGAAGGCTGCCTAGAAGAGGTGACATCTGGGTTTTCTATTTCCCAGACACGTACTTTCTCTTTTTTGCTTGATTACCATTCTTGAGCCGTATCTATGAAAAAAGGGTTGGACCAGGAGACCAGAAATTTATGCTGTTATAATGAGAACTTTTTAAATAACAAAACGCTAACAGAAACCACGAAACCATTTTTCCAGACGAGAAATAAAGAGAACACTTACTTGTTCCTTTTCAAACTGGATCATTTTCCTGAAAAAATCAACTGAAAATGGTCGGCTTTCCTGTAAACTAAAAAGGAAAAGGGGGGGAGGGGCAGGGTTATCTTCCACAATGACAAAAAGGCTCGTGTCTCATCAATACAAAATACCTCTGCCAGTGCCTCCACAACGCATGGTTTAATAAAGACTTGGTCACATTCAATGCAGGAACCTGACCTGGCCACCACTTACTCTCAAAGCTCAAAGTCTGTAAGGACTTACCCTTAACTACCACTAAATTTTTTTCCCTATCAAGTCTTCTGTTTTCTTCTGTCACTTTTAGAGTTTTAAGTTCTCTCTACAATATCTAAAAGTCTTTTGGAAAGAGACCAATAATTCCATTTGTAAGAATATATTCTAAGGAAATAGTATGTGTTCAGACATTATCAAAGCAGTACTGCTGTGGCCAAATAAATTATAGCACATCTACAGGATGGTGTATCACAGCTATTTTTCATATATTATGCTTATGAAGTATTTTTACTAACGGAGGAAAACGCCCCATCTAATGTTCATCCATAAAAGTTGTATACAAATTGGGGTTACAGTATAATCTTAACTATGTAAAAAATAAATTTTAAAATGATACTTGAACAGTAGTTTTTTTCTTGATGATGAGATTACAATGAATTATTACAATTATCTTTATTTATTTATTTTGTATTTTCCACAATGGATAGTAACTGTTTTTATTGTTCAAAAAAGGAAAAAGAAACATTACTTTTTTTAAAAAAGCTTCTGGATTACTTCCTCAGATACTATTTGTGGTACATATAGTCTGGGTATGAGGAGCTGAGTTTGGGAAGGAGAGACCAGTAGCAGATAGGAAAGATTATGAGTACCTTCTAAACACTGCTCTGGCCTTTTTGTAGCCAACACTTCGATAAGCCCAATCCAGGTACTTATCCTTCAGGATTACTGAGTCGGCACCTGTGACAGCTAGGACAGCTTTCTAAAATTTTAAAGAAAAAAGAAATAAGCTGTACAAGAAAACTTACAGGTATCAAAACAAACTTTCCCAGAACCACCCCAGGCCACTCAATTAATAGTGCTGAAAAAACCCTAAACCTACCAATCAGTGACCATATTTACCCAACCCCCAAACACAGCAAGACTTAGCATGGGGCCTCTACCTTAAAGATTGCTTCAGTGTCTTCCTGGCTTTTAGTGCCTTCACTCCACTCCACCCAAGAAATCCACAATGGTAGACAAACCTGTCACAACAAAAAATGTTAGAAAATGACAACAAAGCACTATGCTCTGAAAACTAACCACTATAGGACAAACTACAGGTTACTTCTAAAATAATTAACATATAAAATAGGGATTCATTCCATTTCAAATTCTCATGGACTCCATACTCTCTGGAGCCACGGAGGGTGGATGAACCCCAGAAACTACTGCCCTGAGATAACTTTAAACCTTAAACCAAAAATATCCCCCGAAGTTTTCTTAAAACCAAACAATAATGTAGCTTAACTAGCAAAAAATGTCTGCCTTGAGCATTAAGCTCTTTTAAGAACTATCTACATGGGATCAAACTGACAACAGCAACTCGAAAGATTAGATAGGAACTTTAGGGGGGCAGTAAGTTTATGTTAATGAGGGAGGAACAACTCAGAAAAGAAGGGTGAGAATGGCTGCACAACTCAAAAGAATGTAATCAGTGTCACTGAATTGAACATGCATACACGGCTGAATTGGTGTATGTTTTGCTATGTTTTCAACAACAACAAAATAAACAAAATTTTTAAAATATATATATGGATTCACTCCAAGCTTGCCCTCTGGGCAACCCAGAACTGCCCAGCAGGAATGGCATGCCAGAACACAGACAGCCTTCCTACCAAGCCACCCAGAGCAATACTCTCTTGTTAGTTCTAGTTCCCTTGTGTTGGGGAATACTGCTTATAGTTATTATCATCAATTATCTTTTAGTTAATTAAGAAATTAACAGCCCACAGCTAGTCAGACCCAGAAGCAGGTCTCTGTTGTCTAAAACCCACAAGTACTAACGTAGGCTAAACTGTCTATCTGATCTTCACTCATGTCCCAGAGGCACACACGAAGGAGCAGCCAAATAAATAGTTAAGATGTTTCCCGCTTTACTGTGATACTTTTTTCCTACCAATACAAAAATATTGCAAAGCTATAACTTAAAGGTTTAGAAATACATGTGTGTTGAAAAGCTGGAGGCTTTGGAGGCATGTGAAAATAAATTCCATTAATATTTCTCACTTGTACAATATTTAAATAGAATACAAAATTTTATATAATGTATATAATTTTACATAATACAGTCAATTTTCAAATAACGAATTAGAAACAGGCTATTAAATGGAAGTCATTTCTTCTACATGGAATTGACCTCACCATTTGCTAAAAATCCCACTCCAGGGTCAGCTCTCATCAGATAAGTTACACTCTAAATTAGCTTTGGCTGAAGTCTTAAAAGGTTTCCTAAACAGAATGAAATAAATGGACCAAACAACGACAGCCTCCACTAGCCTGAGACCAGAAGAACTGGATAGTGCCCAGCAACTACTACCATGATCACAGTAGAAGGTCCTCGACATAATGGCAGAAAAATGTCGAACAAAATTCAAATTCATACAAAGACCAGACTTACTGGTCTGATAGAGACTGGTGGAACCCCCAAGAATATGGTCTTCAGACACCCTTCAAACCTGGACGTAAACCCACTCCCAGAGATCATCTTTCAGCCAAACAATAGACAGGCTATAAAGTGAACAATAACACAAGTACAGAACATGCTTCTCAGAACAATCAACCATTCAAGACCAGAAGGGCAGCATTTGCTCACAAACAAAGTTCAGAAGGCAGAAAAGGGCAAGAAAGATGGGCAAATGGAAACAGAGAACTCAGGGAGGAAGTGGGTAGGCAGCCATCACACTGAGGGGATTGCAATTAATGTCACAAAACAAAATGCATATAAATTGTTGAATGGGAAACTAATTCACTCTGTAAACTTTCACCCAAACTACAACAAAATGTTCAAATAAATGAACAGAACGAAATACAAAAGACACAACTCACAAACCTGGGGCTTCAGGTGCGCAAAGGCTTCTTCAAACAGCATGGCTATGTCAGTGCTCTCTGATTTAATCAGCACCTGCAGCTTCATCTGCCACATTGTCACAGAGTCTCTAAACAATTCGGTCCCAGCTCCGGCCACCTCCAGGGCTTCCTTAAACAAGTCATGGTGCAGCAGCAACTCAATCTAGGCAAGACAAAGGATTATTGGAAAATTAATTACTGAAGCCTCCATTATCTATGTAATGAATTATCTTAGGGAATAATTTCAATAGTCTTCCCACTAAATCTTTTACCGTGACTGCTAAGCAGGGACAAAGTGAACAAATTGGAATTCCTCCTTCTTTCCCTGCTTTTATCCCCAAGGGCTATGAGAAAAACAGGGAAGAGATGAAAAACAGAGGGCCTGAATAATTTAGACTCAAAATTTTTAATAAAATGCTTGACTATACTAGAACCCACAACCAAAAAAAACAGAGTATAAAAATCAGTAAAGATAAAACCAGTGTTTGTGGGGTGATAGGGCAGCAGGAAGGAGCCCTGGTAGCGCAATGGTTAACTACTTGGCTACCAACCAAAACGTCAGTGGTTCAAACCCACCAGCCACTCTTCAGTAGAAAGATGTGGCAGTCTGCTCCGGTAAAGATTACAGCCTTGGAAACCCCACGGGGCAGTTCCACTCTGTCCCACAGGGTCACTATGAGCCAGAATCGACTGGACAGCAACCAGTTTTGGAAAGAAGCAGATATGGTCATTTAAATGGAGTTGAACATACTATAAATTGATACCATTTTTCTAAAATGTAATTTGACGCTATATAACAAGTGTCACAAGGAGTCCCTGGGGGGTGCAAACAGTTAGATGCTCCTCTACTAACCAAAAGGTTGGTGATGCAAATCTACCCAGAGGTGCCTGAGAAGAAAGGCCTGGCAAAAGACCACAGTCATTTAAAACCCTATGGAGCAGAGAATCAACTCAATGGTAACTGCTTTTTAAAAAAAAAAAAAAAAACACAAGAGTCATAAAAGTATCCATACTAGCAACAATAGCACTAACAATCAAAAAATACATGAGTGGTTACATAGGTAAATATGTATGCATACATGTGTATAGCAAAGTATACATGCCTATATGTGTGCATATATAGGAGTATCTGTAGGCATAGCTATATACATGTTTGTGTTGCTACACATGTATTCGTTTATACGATAAAGCACATAGAGGGCACACTCACGGATACCTCTCAGACATAACCAAACACCTCGCAGGACTGGTTTACTGGGTTTGAAGGCTTAGGACTATAGTCTTGTGAAACAACTCAGTCAACTGGCACAACACAGTCTATAAAGTTTATGTTCTACATCCTGGTTTGCTAAGTAGTGTCTGGCCATCGAAGATACAACTACTGGTCTCTACTTGTTTGGAGTAAAAGAGAAAGAAGGAAACCAAACACTCAAAAAAGAAACTAGTCTACAGGACTAACTGCCTACACAAACCACAGCCTCATCTATCCAGAGACCAACAGAACTAGATGATGTCCAGTTACCACTACCGACCATCCTGACAAGGAACACAATAGATGGTCCCAGATAGAATGGTAGAAAATTATAGGACAAAACCCTAATTCTTAAAAAAAGAAAGGCCAGACTTACTGGACCAGAAGAAACTGAGGGAACCTCCAAGACTATCACCTTGAGATACCCTTTAAACTTTGAACTGAAACTACTCCTGGAGGTCACCTTTCAGCTGAATAACAGATTGGCTCATAAAATAAAGTGTCACCCATGAGTACTGTGTTCCTTTAAAAAAAAAAAAAATTATCTACATGATCTATATGAGACCAAACAGTCAACATTTACCCTAAAGCAAAGATGGTGGGGGGTGGGGGGATAGAGAGAAGCTAGATTAATGGAAATGGAATGTCCAGAACGGAAATAATGAGAATGTTAACATAATGTGGAAAACGTAACCGATGTCACTAAACAATATGTACATAAATTGTTAAATGGGAACCTAATTTGCCATGTAAACCTAATTTGCCACCAAAAACTCAATAAATAATTTTTTAAAAATCCATTGTCTTAAACTAGGGGATTTTACTTTAACAAATATGCCCCCAAGAAATAAATGAACAGATGAAGGAAACGGAAGACTCAAAGAAGAACTAGTCCACAGGACGAATAGCCCACACAAAATCACAGCCTCTTCTAACCTGAGACCAGAAGAACTAGATGGTGCCTGGCTACCACTACCAACTGTTCTGACAAGGGATACAATAAAAGGTCCCAGATAGAATGGGAGAAAAATGTAGAACAAAACCCAAATTCCTAAAAAAAAAAAAAAAAAGCCAGACCTACCGGACTGATAAAGATTAGAGGAACCCCAAGACTATCACCCTAAAATAACCTTTGAACTTGGAACTGAAGCTATTTCTGGAGGTCACCTTTCAGCCAAATAACAGATTGGCTCATAAATTAAACAGTATCACCTGTAAGGAATGTGTCCCTTAAACAATCAGCTATATGAGACCAAATGGTCAACATTTACCCAAAAGCAAAGATGAGAAGGCAAAGAGGGGAAGGGACGCAAGATCAACGGAAACAGAACAAACAGAATGGAAATAATGAGAATGCTGACACATGGTAAAAACCGTAACCAATGGCATGGAACAATTTGTATAAAAATTGTTAAATGGGAACCTAATTTGCTGAGTAAACTTTCACCTACAACACAATAAAATAATAATAAAAAAAAGAAATAATTGAACAGAAGGAAATTCCATCTATTCAAAAACACTTGTATCAAAAAAATATTAAAAAAACTAAAACCAATACAATTTTATAGAATTGTGGAAAAGCAGGTAAATGGCAGTCTATAATCAATTCACTGAACAAGCATTTTTACTGCACACCATATATACTAGATGCTAGATTCAATAATGAGCAGATCGGGTACATTCCCTAATACCCACAGAGACTCCAATCTAGCAGTAGAGACAGAGTTTGATAAGTGACATGACAGAAAAATAATCAGATTCTACCGAAGTACAAAGCAGGAGCACCCAAAAGGTCTATGGAAGTGTTGAGAAACTACTTCCAGAAAGGAAGCAACACTTAAGCTAAGACTTGAAGGGCAGTCATTAGCCAGGTAAAAGCAGAGACCTCCAGGAAAAGAGAAGACCTCCTAACTAGCATGTGCAAGAGGATGAAAATGAGAGGCAGCAAGGGTACAAAAGGAAATCCAGAATGGCTGGAGGGCAGGATGTAAGCTAGAGAGAATGGGAAGAGATGAGACTGGGGATACAGGGAGGAGCCAAGTAAGAGTTCGGGCTTCATCCCAAGGACAAGAGGAAGCTACACAATAATCTGATAATCACTTTTAAAAAGATCATTCTGTGAAGAACAGTCAGGAAAAAGCATGGGTACAGAATCAGCTAAGCTTTTAAGTGTAGAGGCAGTAAACTGAAAGACTTTCATTAAAAGCAAGGTCACCAGACTTGAAAGCAGCAACAGAAACAGAAACCTGAACACCAATGTTCACTGCTGCACTACTGACGCTAGCCGCAAGGTGGAAACCACCTAAAATGTCCATCCACAGATGAACGGATAAACAAAATGTGGTAATATCCACACAACGGAATATTGCTCAGTCATAAAGAGAAATGAAGTCCTGAGACATGCTACAACATGAACGAACCTTGAAAACACTGTGCTGAGTGAAGCCAATCACAATGATCTCACTCATATGAAATAGCTAGAATAGGTGAATGTATAGAGACCAAAGTTTATTGGTGGTTACCAGGAGTGGGTAGGAGGGAGGGGGAAAGGGGAAGTCATTGTTTAGGAAGCACTGGGTTTCCGCGTTCATGGTGACATAAAATTTGGCAACAGATACTGGTAATGGCTGCACAACATGATTAATGTAACTGAATCACCAAACTGTATACATGAAAAATGTCAAATTGGCAAATGTTGTGTTATATATATTTTTACAACAATAAAATAAATAAATAAAAGCTGGGTCACCAAATGAGTGATGAGGTGGTAGAGTTTGGAAGGGCAGCCTCTGAGATTTGAAAAGTATATTTCAAAAGATGTTTGAAACAGCTAGAGTGGTGAATGGCAGAAGAATGATAATAATGGAAAGGCAGGCCTGCCAGGCAACACTTAAACCCAAGTTGAATTTACAGGGTGCAACTGTCTTGCCAGCAGTCAACAGTTCAAACAGGAGCAGTTGAATTCATCCAGACCTGGGATTTTCCCAGACAGATGCCGTAATAGAGGGGTGACTGGGTCTTGGTATAAACAGTAGGATACTATATAGCATATGCATAATGTAGATACATACAAAAGTATGAGAAAGATGTAAAAATAAAATATAATAGCAAGACATTAAATGGATTTATGTAAAAACTGCATAATGCTATAGATCAAAACAGGCAAGACTTATACAAATAGAAGGCACCAACAAACAGAAAAATTTTTGTCCTGTTTTTCCCCCATGAAGGTATTTAAATACATTAATACATTCATTATCTTATGTAATCCTCTCAAGACTTTGTGAGGTGGCAAAGACAAAGATCATTATCACTATTTTAAAACCAAGTAAAGAAACACATAAAGGGCAAGCGGTTTCCCCAAGTCACCTATTAAGTGCAAAGCCTAGTCTAGAGCTGTGTATTTCCACAGCACATTATTCTGGTCTCTGAAACAGTCCTTACCCAAATCACAGGGTAACCATGGTTTAGTATGCCTCTTACTAGAATGTCAACTTCTGAAATACAGGAACATATCTAACTTGTCTTTATTGTACCAGTGGTTAATCTAAGCCAGCCAGGTTAATCTGGGCCACCCTTCAGGAAAAGGATGTTTGGTAAGAGACAGATGGGTAGACAAACAAAATAAACCCAAGTTGTGAATCTTTGTTTTGATTCTTTTTCATTATATTTTTCCCTTTACTGGTATAGATTTCATTTTTGGCAAACACCAAATCCTGACCACCAAATGTAAATACTCTCTAAATTTACCCTATCAAACTGCCAAATGGCCTGAGTTATACAACTACTTAAAGGAGCCCTGGTGGCGCACTGGTCAAGCGCTCAGCTGCTAGCCAAAAGGTCAGCAGGTTGCTCCACACGAGAAAGATGTAGTAGCCTGCGTTCACAAACACTGCAGCCTTAAACCCTCTGGGGCACTTCTACCCTGTCCTATAGGGTCGCTATGAGTTGGAAAACTGACTCGACAGCAATGGGTCTATATATATACTTAAAACACATGACACCAGCACTAAACAACTGGAATAAAGTGTATTTAACTGGTACTGAATGTGTTCTCCACATCCTTACCCACTGCTTGTACTGGAATTCTGGCAGAAGCTTGAGTTCATGTGCCTTTCTGAATGCAAACATGGTTCTTCCCAGCCTCTGAAATGAGAAAAATCCCTCAGTCCATTACAAAGATTCCCACTAGGGACCTCTGACAATGAACAAAAGCAGTTTAACATATTTCTGAGAATTCAGAGAAGGTACTGCCAAGTTGCTTCTCCACGAAAGTTTGACTTATGATCAGATCAAGTTGGGCAGGTGCACCAGGCACAGCTCCATAAGAGAGCACCTCCTAACCTAGTTGCCGGTATAAGGGCAAACCAGACTCAGAACTTCAGCATGACAGGTCACCCAAAAGGAGAAGGACAGTGGTTAAGCACGAAGCTCTAGGAAGCTATCCCAGACCAGAAAAGAGCTGTGCTTCCATTCTTTTTTCAGAACAGTCATTTCCTAGTCAGCCACTGTAACCACAGAACATAAGTCTTTACCTTCTCTCTGAGGAATTCACTATTTGTCTTCTTAGTTAATCTCTCCAAACAAAAGTTGATGTAACACTTCCACATGGCCTCTAGAAAAGTCAGACAGATTGTGATCAGATCACCAATTCTCTAAATGCAACATATTATCTTTTCCCCAAAGGGAAAACGCTTCTGAAGCAGGGTTTAAATTAGCCTGATGAAAAGTTATTCCAATAACAGCCAATCTAACATCTCAAATACTAGGGAAAGACAACTGAGTAGTAACATAAATATGAAAAATAAGGGCTTTCTCCATATTATAAGCCTGATCCACTTTGCCCTGAAATTCCAATATTACAGAATAAAAATTAAATCTACATCAAAAGATAATTAAGATAATTAAGGAATGATAATTAATAAAACTTAATTATCATTTCCCCAAATAACTAAACACTAGTCATTCCAGGTCTATCTCTCACCATCAGGGAAAGAAAGAACATGGAGAGTCAGGCACACTGTAAACTGTACTACAGACAGCTTCCTGACACTGATGGTGGTAATGGGAATGAAAGCTTCAGTTTCACACTTCTATACCACACCACGGTTTAGTCAAGTTCACCTGTAGGCAGAGTCTTCACTGCCTCTTCATATACAGCACAGCACCTCTCCTCCTTCCGGCCCACCTCCACTGCTTTGGGTTGTTTCGTTGCAGGCTGCTCTTCTCCTGGCTGGGACTCTATCTCTAATTCTCGCCGTGCCACATAATCCCAAGTGAGAGGATCGTCTGTGTGTAGTGCCTGAAGGCTGAAAAATACACTTACTAGAACCTGCCCTATGACAAGAGACTCACTCAGAACACTAAACATAGAGACATTTTTCTGTGCTCTAAAAATGTACATAGAACACCCCTTTAACAATTTCACCACCACAAGAGCCACTTCCCAACAAGCCCTCCAGATGAATTTTATCAGGGGGTTAGAGCTGTCACACATTTATTGAATTTCAGAATGTTTCAGACATCATTCACAAATGTTATCTTTCAAGTAATCAAACTGCCTCCATGTGCCCTGAAGCCTTAGTATTATATCCAGGCTCTTGATTTTCTCCAGTAATAGTAATAGCAAAAAAGCGTAAGTATCAACCTGTCTGCTGAAACCCTGAAAAATATCCAAAGAGCAAACTGATTCAAGTTCTATTTTATCTCTTGTCAAAGTAAAAGTGCTACCCAGGTGTGAAAGTACCCAAAAAAAAAGGCTACATAAGTTCCCTAACTATATAAAATTACCTGCTGCATGCAACTACAAATATCCACGAGTAGAAGGCAGGATGCAGTTTTTACGTGATGAAAACTATTTTCCGAGGGAAACCAACAAGCGAGTCAGATAAATTCTCCAGGAATATATTTTCTTACTATTATTTAACTTTTCTTTCAAGGATTTAGTGTGGTATGTGTTTCTCCCCCTCCTAAATATCCAACCCCAAACCCTTAAAGAAATCAATCACAAGATCAGAAATAGTCACCTTTCACAATTTTACTTACTCATCGTAAATTTCTTTTTGCAACTGTTTGGCAAAGTCAAATAACTGTGCAATTGAAAGCAGTGACACGTGAAATTCTGCACCTAAAATATAAAAAGCACAGGAAAAGAGGTTCATTGCCAATAAGACTCTAAAGAATCACTTTATAAGCATAATTTTCTTGATGTACTAAAGTTAGATTTTCGGGTCTTTTAAATTGGGAAATGGAACCAAAAAAAAAAAAAGTCACCCACAGACCCACCAGACAAAGTCATTATTAACATTTTGGAATATTCATAAATGTTTCCAACTTTCTTTATTCTCAGCTTCTTAAGGGCATGAGGGAATGGACTGAATCATCTACTTCTTTCTAACTCTCCACATGAGTTTAAGCACTCAATAAAAACTGAAATGTTCAATCATATCCTGATGGAAAACACACCTTTTACAAAAGAAACAGGATGTTATTTCTGCTTTCAGAGCTTTACACACATTCTAATGGAAATCTTTAAAATTAGCTAAAGTCTTCCTCATTATAGAGTATCTCCCTTCCCCATCACCACATTCTGCTTTCAAAAGGTACCTACCTTTAATTATGCTCACAGAGTTTTTGTAGATGATCCGTGCCAATTCGCCATTAAGGATTTCTTCCGGATAATCAAGATTCTCCTAAAGAGTGTTATACTGAATGTAACTTAATGGGCAGTGCCATTAAGTGGAAAGAGCCCTACCATAAAAGACTAACAGTCCTAAACTACCTGCACCATGTGACTTCTGGCAAATAACATCTCAACTTTCGGCCAGTTCCCTCACTTGTAAAATGTGCAGCTTGAACCAAGATCACTATTCTTGAAACTGTTCCCATAGGCTTCTGGAGTGGCCACAAGATCACATGGCTTTAAAGCCTCCCTCCCCATTTAGATCATGACAGGACAGATCTTATGTTCCTTGTTTACCCTTGTGTGAAAGATTTTATTTGGAAAAAAAAAGTTGTAAGCAGAAAACCACTATAACATACGATGACATCAAAGTTACTTTTTCTGTGCCAACATTTTAAATTTTTTTTTTTTTTTTTAATTATTCTCTTACATAAAAAGAAGAAAGAAGGCTTGGAACCACACACTTCACAACTTTCTTCAGCCTCCTTCAACCTATTAATATATAATTTAATGAAATCATACAGGATTAAAAGTAACTTTTGGCCATTCCATCAGTAATCATTTTTAGGATCACTTTAGTTCAAAATGTCTATTTTTATAACTAAGCACACTTAAATAAATCAACTCTAGACTCATCTTAAAGTTTCAAAATATAACAACATTAAGTTGGAAAGAAAAATACATTGCTAAGATTTTTTTCCTTACTTCTAAACAGGCTCAAAATACTACATACTGCTAACAAGTGACAATATATTAGAATCTTACCACTTCCATCTTGGCTTTTTCAAATTCTTGCTTTTCCTTCCTCAGTTTCTCAGCATGCATCAGCTCCATCCTAAAGTACTACAGAAGAGAAATAATGAACTGAAAATCTTTGTGGAGAATTTTTTTTTATCAGAAATACATACCACTTTTTTAACCCATAAACATTGGATCTGGAGAGCTTGAGGGGAGTCTTATATTTTATTTTGTTATGAAACTAGCTGACAATGACAAGGTGTGGTCAAAATGATACTATATTATGTTCTTTTGGCAAGCACTCTGGAGACATGAATAAAAAATCTTAAAAAAGTAAAAAGAGCAGCTGCTGAGGCTGATTAAGTACAACCAAACACCTCCTGGGATTTGGTTCCTTGGTTTGGAGGTTTAGGGTCATGGTTTCAGGAACACACCAGTTATTTGGCCTAAAAACATGTTCAGTGCTTCTGTTCTACTTCCTAGTTCATTGCATAGTGCCTGCGGTCTTAAAAGCTTGCAAGCAGCCACTGATGCACAACAATTGGTCTCTATTCACCTGGAGCAACAGAGGAAGAAGGAGAGTCAGGAATAGAGGAGGAAATGGAATGTGTGGCCAATTGCTTCCATGAACAACTGCCTCCTTTGCCATGAGACCAGAAGAACTGGATGGTGCCAGGCTATCATTACTGAACATTTTGATCAAATATTCTATAGAAGAATCCTGATCAAAAGGGGGAAAATGCAGAACAGAATTTCAAATTCTCATAGACTCCAGACTTTCTGGAGCCATGGGGGCTAGACGAATCCCTGAAACTACTGCCCTGAGATAATTTTTAAACCTTAAACCAAAACTATACCCTGAAGTCTTTTAAAATCAAACCATAGTTTAGCTTAACTAGTAAAGAATGTCTGCTTGAGCATTATGCTCTTTTAAGATCTATATATATGGGATCAAATTGACAACAGCAACTCAAAAGATAAGATAGGAACCTTAGGGGACAGTTAAGTTTATGTTAATGGGGGAGGAACAATTCAGAAAAGGAGGGTAAGAATGGTTGTACAACTCAAGAATATAATCAATGTCACTGAATTGTACATGTAGAAACTGTGTAACTGGTATATGTTTTGCTGTGTATATTCTCAATAACAGTAAAAAATACATATTTTTTTAAAAAAACCTTAAAAAAGTTTATACCCTTTAAACTAGTAATTCTGTTCCTAGGAATCTATCATAGAGAAATAATCCTCAATACCGAAAAGTTTCATAAACAAAAGTTTAAGAGCACTTTTGGGAACAATCTAAATATCCAATAACAGGAAAAGCGATTGCCAATGCAGGCATAAAATAGTTACAATAATTTGGTAATGGCGCACCAAAATTTCATTACTCTACCTTGTTTTTAAACTGGCTGCAAAACTGTACGTACAACACAATTACCACTATGTGAAAAACGTGTACAGAAAAAAAAATGCTGTAAGGAAACGCACTGCAGTGTTAATACTGCTTGTCCTCAGTTCATCATACTTTTTTCCTTCTCTGTGCTTTCGCTTTTCTGATTTTGTTCCCCAGTTTTCTATAAACACATAATACTTTTATAGTATAAAATTTAAAAAAACTTTAATTTTTTAAGAACTGCAGCTATGAAAACATAGTGTGGATTAGAGGCTCTCAAAATGTGGTCTGGGGATACCTGGGGGTTCCTGGCACCCTTTCAGGGGCTCTGCAAGGTCAGTAGATTATTTGTAATGTATTTATTATTTTTTAATGAATTAATACATAAAAATTTTAAATTCCCATTTTAACTTCTAATACAATAAAAATTAATACAGATAGCCCATATAAGCAAAAGCTCTTTGGATCCTCGGTAGTATTTACGATTGAAAGGGGTCCGAAGATCAAAAAGTATGAATACCACTGATGTAGATCAATATGTACTGACTATATATATAAAAATGAGAACACAAGAAAATGTAGGCTAATGCCATTTTAAAGAAATAAAACGTATGTTATAAGTATTCACAATACACATAAAAATATAGGTGATAAGACTATTAAGCACTTTTTCTCTTCTTCATACAAATGTTTTCTCTGTCTATAATAAATTCCAATTACTTTTGATAAAAATAGGCAACCGATCTATTTCCATTTTAGAAAATACAAGTATGGGCATTTATGAGCAACTCCAAAAGCATATAAATAGTGACACTATACGAACAACCTTCCAACAGTAGGGAGGACTGCTTCTTACAATAGTTTCTCAATTAAAATAATAAAGGCAGAAAAGGGACAGCTAACAGACTATGAAAAGAAGGAAAGAAACACAAGGCTACAATATAAAAACACTATTAATTACTACAAGACCAAAAATACAGATGTGACTTCTATAAAACCTATTAGCACGAAGACCTATAACTTTTTCCTTTTCATTTGAGGACTAAATTCTGAGAAATGTCTCAGAAAAGGGTAGTTTCCAAAAATATACCATTATTAGCACTTGTTTTTCTCACAAGAGCCTGGCCATCGATATTCTAAAGCACCCCTCCTCTAGGAAGGAATAAATTCCTCAAGAGGGAAAGGAGGTACTAACAGAGTACTTACCTCGAGAAAAAGAGAAGTAAAGAAAAGAGGAAGAGAAGACCAAAAACAAACATGAAACAAGAAAAAAAAAGATAAAGGTACCTGAACTCTGGCTCCCCTTCTAAATAAAAAATAGGGTTCAGCCCCCTATTCCTCCCAACCCTAGTGGGCAAGTGGGGGTTCCAACCTCTAACAACCTAGAAGCTGTACACTGTTAACACTTACCACTGGCCAAGAAATATAAAGATTTTTCTACTCACCCTCCTGGCTCCCTTACACTCAGAAGCTCCCCCACACACTTTATCACTGGCCTCCATAAACGGAAGTCTTCTTTAACTTGGCAAACTTAATAAAGGATATATGTCTCCAGAGAATCAAATTGAGACATCACTTTCTCATCCTACACAAACACGCACTCACTTCTTGATAAAGTTTTGGACACTCCGGGTGAAAGCGCAGAGCCCGAAGAAATAATTGTCTTGCACTTTCTGAAGACAAGCGATCTTCCATTTCCCATTTGGCTGCCATAATCCACAAGGCTAGAAACAGAGAAAATCATCAGACTTCACTTCAGTCAATATAATTAAGTCAAACAAAAAAAGACCAATGCTCCAATTTTAATAGTCAGAGAACTTTTTTAAAAATCTTACTAAAAGAAGGAGATGCAGAGAAATGGGCTTCTAATAGCTATCTGTGAAGTTTTGTCATTTTAACTAAACTTAGAAAAAGCGTTCTGAAGCCAACAGGTAAATGTTAGTATCTGTTCAGTCTGGATAATGGGTACATCAGTGCCTGTTAACATAGGTCATCAAATCTCAGAACACCACCATTTTAAGGCATATACAAATTTTAAAGTTGTGAAAATCACAGGAAAAGAATTTATGTCTTAGAATCAATGAAATCAGACTTTTTTTTCTCCACTTTAAATAGTTTTTCTCTCTTTTCTCTATTTGAAATAGTTCATAATTTAAAAAGTAAATTTTTAATTGTACCTGCTAGACACAAAGGCTTAAAAACAAAACCTCTGTGCCTTTCTAGATGGGAACTTAACACTGAATTAAATTCTATCCACTTCCGAAACAACTTAATAAAGATCAGCTATGTTATTAGGCAAGACTGCTTATGGTAAAAATGACCCACGGTTCTTGAGGGACATCTAGCTCAACTGGCGTAACACAGTGTATAAAGAAATTGTTCTACATCCTACTTTGGTTAGTGTCTGGGGTCTTAAAAGCTTGTGAGCTGCCATCTAAGATACTCCCCCCCCATCTGGAGCAAGGCAGAATGAGGAAAACCAAAGACACAAGGGAAAGGTTAGTCGAAAAGACTAATGGACAACAACTACAGCCTCCACCAGACTGTGCCCAGCACAACTAAATGTGCCCAGCTACCACCACCGACTGCTCTGATAGGGATCACAGTAGAGGGTCATGGACAGAGCTGGAGAAATATGTAGAACAAAATTCTGACTCACAAAAAAAAGACCAGACTTACTGGTCTGACAGAGACTAGAGAAACCCCGAGAAAATGGCCCCCAGACACCCTTTTAGCTCAATGGTGAATTCACTTCTGAGGTTCACCTTTCAGCCAAAGATTAGACAGGCCCATAAAACAAAACGAGACTAAATGGGCACACCAATCCAGGGGCAAGGACTAGATGGCAGGAAGCGTAAAGGAAAGCTGCTAATGGGGAACCCAAGGTTGAGAAGGGGAGAGTGTTGACATGCTGTGGGGTTGTCAACCAATGTTACAAAACAATGTCTATTAAATGTTTAATGAGAAACTAAGTTGCTTTGTAAACCTTCATCTAAAGTACAAAAGAAAAAAAAATGACCCATAGTTGGTAATCACATCTGGACTGGGAGGGCTGTGAATAATGCACAGCCATTGCTTTGGGCTTTGCATGTGACTCCTATAACAGCATGGCTCTTGCTAGGCCCCAGGAAGCTATGCCCATCCATGGGGCTTCTAAGCCAGAATGGCTCCCCCACCCACTCATGTGGTATCATCCCCTCACATCTGAACTGTCACCTAGGGAACCAGAGACTAGGGAACCAAACTGCTAAGAGGAGTCTGCTGAAGAAGCATGCCAAAAGCTATTCTGCTGTATCCTTCTGAGTAAACTGTGGCCAATCTAGCCTATTTGAGTCTTGTGTAGTATGAAATACCTGGCTGAGACATTTATACCCTGAGAATACACACTGCACCTCCAATATAAAATAACGTGTCATTCACACATAATTAACAAGAAGTCTTTACCTTACAAACGTGAGTACCTACGCTGTGCCAGATACCATTCTAAAATCTGTATTAAAATCTTCCCCTTCAAGTTTTGGAAACCCCTACATAGACTGTGCCTGCCTCCAGATAAGAAAGTTCCCCAAAGTACAGAAGAGTTTGTCTCACCATCAACTAAAAAGAAATGTAGTCCCTGTCCACAGATATGCCTGGCACAGTAACTAGCATACAGCAGGTGGGAATGAACTAAGAGAAAGCTAGTCAGCAACAACAACTGCTTAGACCAACTACCTAATACCTAAGCTCAAGTCCTCAAAACAATTTGTCTTAGGTTTATAAAGTAAATTAAATTCCAAAATGCTTAACTCTAAATAAAGTGTTAAAAAAAAAAAAAAAGACAAAGATTTCACCATACCTGGCTTGTTCGAATGAATGGCTAACATGGCAGAGAATACCTTGCTAAGTTGAACTTTGGTAGCCTGTAAAAAAGAGGAAGAAAATTTTCTATTCCCTGTACTGTGAAATCACTGTTATTAATCTCTAACTAATCTGTACTGTATCTTCATCAATGGTAAAAATCCAACGGAGTGAGGGCTGCTATTGCTAGGGGCATAGCAATACAGACACAATCACAGTTTTCTTGTACTTAAACCACTAAATATAAGCACTCTGAATATAACTCAACTTTCCTAAACAAATACACACAACAATTACTTTCTTTTTAACTGATGTGGAACTCATTTATGAAAACATTCATTCGGTACATAAATGTTATTACACATAAATGCTATTACACTGAAGTACAGCCATCTTGAATTCTTTTTATCTCTACATCTTTGAAGAAAACCAAAGAAACCATGTGTTATCTCTACAACTTTGGAGAAAACATGGAGTTCAATAATCAAGTAGGAGGCCTAAAAGGCAGATTAACTAAAAGAAAAGAACAGGGAGGAAGACACAGCTCCCAATACTCACCCATTTCTTACAAAAGACTACATAAGACAGCCAAAGTTGAACATCATCCTGCAAGAAAAGCAATGCACTAAGCTGCCTGGATTTCACCTTTATATATAACACATCTCTGCAGTGATTAATTTTGTTAGAAACAAAAGCAGATCTCAGAAAATCCAATTTGTTACCACACCCCTCAGCCTATGAGGCTCTTCCTCACGGAGTCCTTGGATATCCTAGCCATGATAACTCACTCCATTCCCCCCACAACCTCCCACCATACTCAAAGACAATCAACTATCCAATTTGTTCAACGAAGTTCTTATGGTCTCAATGAGGGGTAAAAACACAAAATTTGCCATTCCCAGGAATCCAAAGCACATATCAACATTTCATGGAATATGACCAGCCCCAGAGCCAAACTTGGACAGAATTAAGTCACTGAGGAGCTGCCCCTACTCTAACGATTTATTTCACACTTCCAAATTGCAACCCTCTCTACTCTTCAATGTACTTTACTTAGAAAAAGGGCTTCGAACCAGTTCGTTCCAGTTCGAACCCTTGCTGAGAATTTTCACTTCCACCCCAGATATACTGAATCAGAATCTACATTTTAACTAGATTTCCAGGTGATTAAGTGACAAATTTTGAGAGCCGCTCTACTAGTGGTTCTCAGAATTGGTCCCGAACCAGCAGCATTAGCATGGCCTGGGAACTTGTCAGAAATGCAAATTCTCAGCAGGGATTCAAACCAGAAACAAACAGAAGCCCGGCTTAGAAATACATTCCAATATCTCCCAGACAATTTTTTGATCCTCAGTTATTTATCAAATACCCTGTTTTCAACACCATCTTCACAGAATAATTTTAAGGTAGTGAGATCAATTTTCTTAGTGGCCTCTTAACTGGCTCAAAAAATGTTTTAAGCAATGATATCATCACCAGGATAAGAACTGAGATGCCCAAGATAAAACTACAGAGCAATGCTTGAATATCTAAGTCATAATATGTCTAACACACATCATCACATCTCTTACAGTTAAGGATGCTCTGATCACTTACTTTCCACTTTGCTGAAGCACGTCGGAAGACGCCTTGTACTCGTCGTACGATAGAATTCTCAATCTCATCCTTCTTAAATGAATACCCAATGCGCTAAAAGAGGACATAAAAAACCAAAGCCTCAGTTGAATCACATTTATCTGAAGCGACATTCCTACTTCATCATTAAACAGTACTGATGGGGGAAGCAAATAATTACAAACAGCCATTATAGGCCTGTTACCACACAATTTATCAAGGCCAACTGTCTCTTAAACCCAAGTTCCGGCTAAATAGCCGCACGGCTTAATTCTGTGTTTCCCCTTTCCCCCAACTTCCAGAAAATCATCTACTTACTGTTCTTCTTCTCTGGATCAGCTCCAAAAGATTAATTTCATACTATGGATGAAAAACATACAAATAAAGAGAAACAAGAATTATTATAACCTTTTAAATACAGAAAATGTGTTTTAGTTAAAATTATGAAGTCAAGAACATAAAGTAGAAAACATTTTGCTATCAAGATGAATAATTTATAGTAAATATCTAGCATTCACTGAAAATTCACCTTTATATTTGAAAAGCTCACAAACACAGGTAATAATTAGCATACTTATAATCTCTTAAAAAAAATAGTTGCCATGAAGTCAACAGCGATTCATGGCAACCCCATGTGTATCAGAGTAGAACTGTGCTCCACAGGGTTTTCAATGGCTACTTTTTCAGAAGTAGATAGCAAGGCTTTTATTCCAAGGTGCCTCTGAGTAGACGCGAACCTCCAACCTTTTTGGTTAGCAGTTAAGCATGTTAACTGCAGCACTGAGGGACCCATAATCACTTTAGACGTTAAAAAAAAAAAAAAAAAGTTACTAAAACTATAAGACTTAACAAGAGCTATGGTATCAATTAATCTCGACTTTCCAAACAACATCTAGTCTACAAGAGTATGCTCAGACTTTTAATTAAAAAAGGAGTTCTTCAAACAAAATCTTAGCTAATGCATCAACAAATAAAGCAGATAAACAGAAGTGTACTAGCTGAAACAGGGGTGTCAAGCCTGACTGGCTCTCCCTGACCCACCCTCTGAAGTACTACCTGGACCTCCTAAGGCTCTCTCAAAACCAATGCTATATAATTCCTCTTCAAGCTGCATGAAGACTATTAGAGACAGAAAGCTCAGGATTTCACAAAACTACATGCTTCATTTCAGAATTGTTCTATGAAATATTTCAGGCACAGACAGCATGCACCTATCACGCAATTATATCCAAGCCTATGTTTTACTATATTTGCTTGAAGTCTTTTTTTAGAAATAAAATATTTTGAATAAAGGTGAAGTCCCTATGTACTCATTTCTCATTCTATTCCTCTCCCTCTTCAAAAGTAAACAACTAACCTGACTTTGGTGTTTATCATTCCCAAGCATGACTTTACACATTAAAATGTTGTCTTCAATGTTTTTAAACTTTATATAAATGGTATCATACTGTACCCCTCATTCCATATTTTCACTTAACATTATGACTTTAAATATATCCCTGCTGACACACAGAAGTTCAAGTTCATTCAAACTGTTGTATAGTATTTAATTGCATTAATGTGCAATTTACTTATTTTCTCCTGCTGATGTCTGTTTGTTTCCAATTTTTCTCTATTACAAAAAGTTGCAATTAGTATTCTTATACATATCTTCTTGTGAACAGATGTAGGAAATTCTCCAAAGTATATAATCACTCCCACCATTAGTATGTAAGATCCATAAGGCAATGGTTTTCGTCTGCTTAATTTACTGCTGTACCCCTACACCTCGATCAGTGCAGTGTACATAGTAAGCACTCAATATTTACTGTATGGTTGTGTGGGGGGATATATATGTAAGCAAGTAGGAGTGAGCATCTGTATGTTTTAAATCTATTTATTTCAGTTCTGCTCTCTAAAATGAAACAAATCAATCTAATCCACAATATCTACTGTATGAAAGAAATTGCTGGGTCATAAGATATACGCATTCTCAACTTTATGAGATACTACCAAATTGCTCTCCAAAGTGCTTGTACCAATTATACTACCACCAGCAGTATGAATTTCCACTACTCTAAAATCTGTATATAATCATATCAGTCTTTAAAATGGTGCCCAATATGATAGATATAAAGTGGTACTGCACCCTGATTTTATCTGATTAATAATGAGCCTGACATTTTTTCATAAATACAACCGCAAATTGTTTTCCCTTTGTGAATGTTATGTTCTTATGATTTGCCCATTTTTCTTTGTCATTTTCTTCTTGATTTACAGCTTATATATTCTAGATCCTAATTACAGGTGTTACAAATATTTTCTCCCATTCTGTGGCTTGTCATTTTTCACGTTACTTATGGTGTCTTGCTTTAGACAGAAATTTTTACTTTTAACGCTGTCAAATAATCTTCTCCTTCATGATATGTGTTTTTGGTCTCACTTATTTTTTAAGAACTATTTCCCTACATGAAGTCATTCTTCCATATTTTTCTAGAAGATTTAGTTTTCCACCTACACTTAGCTCTTCAAAACTTTATTTTTGTTCATAACATGAGAAAGGAATCTAATTTTATTTTTCAGTGTGGATAACCAGTTCCCCCAGAACCTCACTGATTTAAAACCCCACTTCTGTCTCAGAGCAATTTTTATGGTTATAGGTGCTGGGGGATGTATATGCAAGTAAGTAGGAGTGAATGTGTGTGTGTGTTAAATCTACACGCTTATTTCAGTTCTGCTCTCTAAAACAAAACAAATCAATTTAATTCACAGATAGCGCTTCAAAAGTTTGACAAGTAAAGTCTTCTTAAGGTTAAACATCTTTATTTCCTGCAACAATTCCTCTCAGAACAAGGTTTCCATCTGGCTGCCTTCCAAACTTTCAAAGTCCTTCTTAAAATTTAGTCTTGAGTCTAACACAGTACTTCAGCAATGGGCTGATAAGTATAAAACACTCTCTTTCAAGCCAACATTTTCTGAATGCCTACTGTTTGCAATGCCCACTGCAGACACTTTACTTTTGGTAATGTAGAAAACTGGATTACATTTTAACGTAGCACGCTCTTGGCTTATTTTGAGTCAGCAATCAACTATGAGCCTCAGACTTCTTCCAAAAACACTGATTCATAGGCACGTTGCATATATCATTTTGTTTATTCAGTTGTGTGTGTGTGTGTGTGTGTGTGTGTGTGTGTGTGTGTGTGTGTGTGTGTATTTAACCTATGCACAGAACCTTGTTACTGGGTTCTTTCTGAGTCCTGATTCTGTCAGTTAACTTATTACCTACTCCTTCCCATCTGAAAATTGGCTTGGCATGTATGTTTTGTCTGTACTCCAAATCTTCCATCATTTACAGAATGCAGAACTTCTGCAATATGCTTCTTCCAGCCTGACAGATTTACTGACAGTGTTAATTTTCCAACCATCTACTATCATCAAACTCCCATTCCTCTATCTTGTCCCACAAGAGGCTGTTTATTAAATCCTTGCTGAAGTCCTGATACACTGTGTCGCTGATCTACTAATTCAATACAAAAAAAGAAGGGAGTTCAATTTGGCAAGGACTAAAGCCTTAGTGGCGCAATGCTACTCCCAATAATTACCTCTACTTCTTATCTGTTCAAAAATTACCTGTTTTATCATTGATTCTAGAATTTTGTAGAAAATTAACATCACACTCACCATTCTATGATTTACCTGATTTAAAATTTGTAAGGGGATTAAGAAGTGATGAAATTGTTCACTTACTTGAACATAATTGATAAAATCTTCCTTAAAAAGGGCTCGTCGCTGTATTCTGTATTCTAGATCCGAAGCCTTCTTAATGATAGCTCTAGGGATAAAACCATTTAAAATATAATACTTGAAAAGAGCAAAAATGAAATAACTATTTTCTTAAAACCTGTTTATTTTTAATATATTTTTAAAACATGCTTACCAAAACACATAAATACCAAATATAAGTATCTACAGCATGCAAGCACTCTTACATGATTACTTCTTCGTTCTTAACTGCATCAGGATTTACTTTAAAATTTTTATGAAAATCATCTATTACCAGGACCATTTACATTCCCCTTATCAAAGCAAATAATGTTAACTACTTTACATTACACATACGTAATATGAGAAAAGATCTTTTTCCCTCCAAATTCAGATTGCTTAAATTTCAGTAATAATCAAGTCTCTTTCTTAAATTACTCTATTTCTGAATTTTCAACATGTAAATTAAAAAAAAAAAAATACCTAGAATGAAAACTTTTATTACCAAAGAATTTATGGAAAAAATTCACTGTCCTTAACTAAACAATGAATCCACAACATATGTATGCTAGAAGAATTTAATGCAAGATGTGGAAAATAACTGTCTTTACGTATAGTAATAGCAAAGATTAACTGAGCACTTATTAAGACTCTACACTGCTATGCTGTTTCATTAACAAATGTTTGAGTCCCACAGGCACATCATTAAATTCAGTCATTGCAAAACAAACAAATAGCAACAGAAAACCATTTAAAAACTATTAAGCTCAATTAATTTTAACAAACTACTGAATGCCAGCTGTGCCAGGCGCTGTAGCTAGGCGCTGGGGTAAAATATGAAATCGAACGGTTCCCGTCTTCAAGTCTAGGAAGACTTATTCACTCCTCCTGGCTTTCCACTTTCACATCTCTAGGAGTACAATGTAGTACAATCAATTTACAGTACACGGCACGGTAATCTAAATGTTTGTCTGTCTCTCCCACCACACACAGTGCACTGTTAGCTCCTGATGGGCAGGGACTCAGTTTTTTATCATCTTTGTAGCCTCAAGACCTGGCTCTATGAACGGCTGTCAATATGTTTGAAGGATAAAGCGACGGAAGAATGGATCATCTCGCAATGGATGAGAAATTAATTGTAAGTATCATCAAAATCCGGCAAATGAACTTCCACTATGTTAACAAAAATAAAAGTGCCCTTTATCCCTGCCCCCCGCCACGCACACGCCCCCAAGCTCCACTCAGCCAGCGCCGAATCTTCTTCCCCAGCCCTCCCTTTTCCCCAGCCCTCTCTCACTTAATCTCCGCATGACTGAACAGTCCAATGCGCTCCAGCTGTTCCAATTCGGGGAGCCGATCTTCTATGCGTTCCTGGATTATCTCTGCCATGAGGTTCCAACTCTACACCACACTCTGAAAATTCAGAACCGCCAACACGCGCAGAAAAAGTCCACCTTCTATTCCGGTAATCCTGCCTTTACGCTCGCACGTACTCACGTAACGTGCTCCCTAGCTCCCGCCTCTTCCGCTTCTGCCATCTCTGCCAGTGGGGAGGGCCCTTTGGCTCTTGCGGCAGCTGGCACCTCCCTGTGGCTGAATGTGGGATTGCAGCAGGAGCCCCTCCGGGCGGTAGAGAGGAAGACTCAAGAGGACAGGATTAGAGGGGCGGGGCTAGGATGGAGCGGAGCTATATGCGCGCGAGGCTTGGACGTGGGCGGGGTCCGAAAAGGCGCCTGCGGATACAGAGCAGTCGACTGAAGGAAGCTAGAAATGCGTTTTTCTCAGGCTGTTGGCTTCGTTTTTTCTGTTCTCATCCTACGCTCTCGCTTTTCAACACCAGGAACAAAAAAAAGAAAAACAGAGTGTAGGATAACGTATAATAATAAACATTTTGGAAAAGTCACTGATAAAGATCGTCAGGGGCGCTAACACCGACCAATCTACCCAAAACATTTGTTTGCTTTCGGCTGGATTTAGTAAACTAGTGTGACACATTGATTTTCACGTGCCGATTAAGAGTCTCTGATGGAACGATTAATTTTAAAATCGGGAGAAATTTTCATTGTTTGAATGACTAACCTGGCTTTGTAGACAAAATCAAAACACATGGCCCTGGGTGGGTATCAGGAACTATAATTTTTTTAGAAAAGGGAATCTTGGCATTGAAAATTTGGAAGTTACCTTAATAAATCAATAGAGTATAGACCTTCCTTAAACCATTGCATTTAGCATGCATTTCTAAGAGAACCATCAGATAACCCATCTTGGAAGCGGTACTGCTGGTGTCATCACTTAACCTAAAGTAATAACGATGTGGCTCAGTTCTATTTAAGTTCTGAAGGATGATAAAAAGCCAAAGCAGGAGTTCTTGCTAGACCAGTTTATTTCAACATGCATATTAGCACCTTGATCCTCTGTGATTTATGAAAGGGGAATAGTCTTAGCAATTAACCATGTTCCACATTCTCTGTGCCTTTCCCTTTTTTCCTTTTGCATTTTACCTGCTGATCTCAGAACGGAGGCAAAGGTTGGCTTAGGCTTCATCATTTCCTGATTCTCTAAGCTGTAAGACATTAGGAGAGTGGAACAAAATCACGGATATAAAAAAAAGATGAAATTTTCTTTGTAATAGGAAAATCTCTGGGGCCTGTGTTAACAGTAAGAATGGGGATGATGTAAGAATGGGGATGATGCTAGATAGTAAGCTTACATGCAGGGATTTTTTTCCTGTTTTGTTCACTAGTATTAGTAGGAATTGACTGGACGGCAGCTGGTTTGGTTTTTTTAGTATACAGTAGGTGCTCAATAAATAAATGCATGACAGAATATGAAAAGGCATTTGCTAATTTCTTTATAAGGAAGTCAGGAAGTACTAACAGATTGTGATCTTTCATTTCTAGGCAAATTTAATACAGAACTTGCCAAGATAATGACAATTTTTAAATCAACTGTAAATGTTGTTAGGTGCTATCATTTGATTTCTTGACTCCTGCTTCCATGGGTGTTGATTGTGCATCCAAGTAAAATGAAATCCTTGACAACTTCGATCTTTTCTCCGTTTATCATGATGTTGCTTATTGGTCCAGCTGTGAGGATTTTTGTTTTCTGTATTTTGAGGTGTAATCCATACTGAAGGCTGTAGTCTTTCATCTTCATCAGCAAGTGCTTCAAGTCCTCTTCACTTTCAGCAAGTAAGATATGTCATCTGCATAACACAGGCTGTTAATAAATCTTCCTGCAATCCTGATGCCCATTCGTCTTCATATAGTCCAGCTTATTTGCTCAGCATACGGATTGAATAAGTATAGTGAAAGGATACAACCCTGACGCACACCTTTCCTGACTTTAAACTACGTAGTATCCCCTTGTTCTGGCTGAATGACTGCATCTTGGTCTACGTACAGGTTCCTCATGAGCACGATTAAGTGTTCTGGAATTCCCATTCTTTACAATGTTATTCATACTTGGTTATGATCCACACAGTTGAATACCTTTGCATAGTCCATAAAGCACAGGTAAACATCTTTCTAGTATTCTCTGCTTTCAGCCAGGATCCACCTGACATCAGCAATGATATCCCTGGTTCCACAACCTCTTCTGAATCTGGCTTGAATTTCTGGCAGTTCCCTGTTGATGTACTGCGGCAGCCACTTTTGAATGAACTTCAGCAAAATATTACTTGTGTGTGATATTAATGATATTGTTTGATAATTTCCACATTCTGTTGGATCACCTTTCTTTGAAATAGGCATAAATACGGATCTCTTCTAGTTGGTTGGCCAGGTAGCTGTCTTCCAAATTTCATGGCATAGACGAGTGAGCACTTCCAGTGCTGCATCCGTTTGTTGAAACATCTCAGTTGGTATTCCATCAATTCCTGGAGCCTTATTTTTGGCCAATGCCTTCAGTGCAGCTTGGACCTCTTCCTTCAGTGCCATCAGTTTCTGATCATTTGCTACCTCCTGAAATGGTTGAACGTCGACCAACTCTTTTTGGTATAGTGACTCTGTGTATTCCTTCCATCTTCTTTTGATGCTTCCTGCGTCATTTAATATTTTCCCTTAAGAATTCTTCAGTATTGCAACTCAAGGCTTGAATTTTTCTTTAGTTCTTTCAGCTTGAGAAATGCCGAGCATGTTCTTCCCTTTTGGTTTTCTCTCTCCAGGTCTTTGCACATTTCTTCAGTCTTTCTTATTCATTATCCAGCTTTCACATGCACATTGACTTCTTGAGCTGCCTCTTGAAATCTTCTGTTCAGCTCTTTTACTTCATCATTTGAACTGTAAGTACTCTCCCCCTTATTTTGAAATTCAGCTTCCATGTTTATCTTGCTGTAAAAATTATTAAAATGGAAATGACAAAACTTCTCTTGTCACTTGTATATCTCACAATAATAGCTATCACTTTTCTAGGGCTTATATGCGTCCAGCTACTATGTGCCCTGTTCTAAGTGCTTTATATACTAACTCAATCACATTACATAAACATTTTTAATACCAACCCAAGAAAAAGCCCTTCAATAAGTCAAAAGCATCTACTAGAGAAAGCACATGCTGCAGAAGAAATTGTCTTTACATAGTGCCCACTAGGTCTCAGAACCCTTAGCTGAGCACACCTTTCTAGTTAAGGACCCCTAACAACAGGGAAAAAGTGCTCTTGGAGTCTGGAGCTTGAAAGTGCCCCTCAGAAAGCTTGATCTTTCTTTTAGTTTTGTATTCTAAGTTTAAAATTCAACACAGAGGTCAGATTAGTGAGTAAGTACTGACTGAGAAGGCAAAAGGAGCATTCTGGGTGCTGGAAATACTTGATCTGGATGGTTGGTACGTGGGTGTATGCATATAAAAATTCAACAAAGTGCACACTTAAGATTTGTGTACTTTATGGAAATTATACTTTAATTGAAAGGAAAAATGTAATCACCAGACTCTCTCTTTGAGGATATTGTTCTCCTAAAGACCTTCAAGTATTAATTTTATGACAGGACCAGAAATATTGAAACATAAATAACCAAAGCCTTATCCCTCTCCAAAAAAGTTTATGTGAATTTTGCATTCTCTTGTTGTTATTAGGTGCCTTCGAGTCGGTTCCTATTATGTACAACAGAACGAAACATTGCCAGGTCCTGCACCATCCTCACAGTCATTGCTATGTTTGAGCCCATTGTTGCAGCCACTGTATCAATCCATCTCATCAAGGGTCTTCCTCTTTTTCGCTGACCCTCTACCTTACCAAGCATGATGTCCTTCTCCGGGGACTGGATTTTCCTGCTAACCTGTCCAAAGTACATGAGACAAAGTGTATCCCACAATATGTTGTTGTTGTTGTTGTTGTTAGGTGCGATCGAGTCAGTTCCAACTCATAGCAACCCTATGTACAACAGAACAAAACACTGCCTGCTCCTGCACCATCCTCACAATCATTGTTATGCTTGAGCCCATTGTTGCAGCCACTGTGTCAATCCATCTCACTGAGGGTCTTCCTCTTTTTTGCCAACCCTCTACCTTACCAAGCTTGACACCATTCTGCAGGGACCGGTCCCTCCTGATAGCACGTCCAAAGCATGTGAGACAAGTCTCACCATCCTTGCTTCTAAAGAGCATTCTGGCTGTACTTCTTCCAAGACAGATTTGTTCATTCTTCTGGAAGGCATGGCATATTAAACATTCTTCACCAACGCCACAATTCAAAGGCATCAATTCTTCTTCAGTCTTTCTTATTCATTATCCAGCTTTCACATGCACATAAGGCGATTGAAAACACCATGGCTTGGGTCAGGCGCACCTTAGTCCTTAAAGTGACATCTTTGCTTTTGAACACTTTAAAGAGGTATTTTGCAGCAGATTTGCCCAAGGCAATGCATCATTTGATTTATTGACTGCTGCTTCCATGGGCATTGATTGTGCATCCAAGTAAAATGAAATTCTTTACAACTTCAATATTTCTCCCTTTATCGTAATGCTGCTTGTTAGTCCAGTTGTGAGGATTTTTATTTTCTTTATGTTGAGGTGTAATCCATACTGAAGGCTGTAGTCTTTGATTTTTATCAGTAAGTGCTTCAAGTGCTTTTCACTTTTAGCAAGCAAGATTGTGTCATATCGCAGGTTGCTAACGAGTCTTCCTCCAATTCTGATGCCGCGTTCTTCTTCATACAGTCCACCTTATATGAAGCCGAACTATATGAAAAAAACAATATATTAGTATTTTTTAAGTATAAATTACCTTGGGTTTTTGCCAGATTGTGAACTTATATTGATCCCAAAGAAATGTACCCTGCTCACTTCCATGGCTTGGAGAAACCCTTGACTGCATTACGGTGCCCATGAGCTAGTTTGGAAAACAGAGAAGGAGGGTTTCAGTTAGGGTCGAAAGACAATCTCAAGGAGTCAGCCAGATGAATAGTAGCCAGATGTTTGCAAATCAAGTTGAAACTTCTATTCTTGCCTTTACTGTACTTAATCGTATCTTCAAAGTAAACTTGAACTTTTCTGTGGAATATTCACACAGTCACATCTAAGGATTCTGAGTTCACGGACTACTCAGTGGTTAAAAACAGCGGAGTATTAGTATTTGGTGAAAGGAAGTACTTAATTTCAGCAATAATGAGAGACGAGGCACCTGGAATCC